GACCACCCAAACTTTTTTCCTATCATAGACATGCATCCTAATAGAATAGGAACCATTTTACAAAGAGGTTCACTTATCTGTTCAAGCATATTCATCTCTAGCAAACCCGATGCTGTGGACTGTAACACTGTAGAAAAACAAGACAATAATGCAAGTAATCTTTGGAACTGCTGGGAGCTACCAGGACTTGCATCCTGAAGCAGCACGTCCATATCACCTAGAAACTTTGAGAGCAATCCCAATGGGAACTGCATATTGTTCACCCAATATTTCTGAAACTGCAGGAAACTGTCCATAATAACGCGCCTATCAGACTCTGCAAGGTCCGGTACCATCGCCCACCCAAGGAGGAGATCGACAACATCAACAAAATGGGGCTGAAAGCATCTAAAAAACTTCAAGGAGATTAGTGTTAAAACAGCGAGAAGTCTGCGCAGTAAGCTCAAGGAGGTTCTTTCATCCTCTAGAAGCTCTTGGCAAGCCTTGAGAATTGGCAATGCAAATCTCTCAACTGCAGAAACATCCCCAATATTAAGAAATTCACGCAAGCCCTCCAATGCAAGATCAGTTGTCCCATCTACTACAGTGCTAAGCAATGGCAATGCCCAACCAATGAACCGATCAACCAAACTGACAAGAATGACATGGTTCTGCCTTCCATTTGGAGCTATCGAGATTAAACATAGTACAGAACACAAAGCACCATAAGCAGTGGCTGCTGCCTGGCGCACTGAATATGACCTGAGCAGCAGTTTTTACGCCAAACAAAAATCTTCATCAGATGACTTCATAATTTATAGTACAAATTATTAAAAGAATTGATGTGGAAACACATTAAGTTAAGTAGACTGTCAATTTGATGGTGTGTGATCAAAACATCTGTATGGCAGCTTCTGTCACAAATGATTGTGTAATATGATTCCTCACAAGCAAATAACAGAATTGTGCTAATAGCACCAAGACCCAGGAATCCGATGTAAATCCAAAAAGAAAAATAACTACAATATATAAAATTTCTTTCGACACTTATCCGAAGATACAGAGAAGGGTGATTTATTTTTTTATTTTTTTATGACAAGGGAAACCAGCAGCTGCCACCCTTTGGATGCGCATTGGGTAAAATCCCCGCTCCTATGCAATAGCTAACAAACCACACAAGAGAGGTAACCCGCACTAGGCAAGCCCGGTGCGACGAGCTCGACCCAAAAGGCAAGCCCCTTGCTTTCGCGAGCAATGGGTATCGAACTTGAGACCTCCAACATGGAAGTCCCAAGCCCAACTCCAGTTATGTGATCTTGATCACGTTGCCTGTATCAAGCCCCAATAAAGGAGCGGGGTATGTTTAAATCTAAACACTTCCGAGTTTGGACAGAAATTCCATCATGCTTCTTACCTCCCCAGTCATTACCTTCCGAACTTGGCGTTCTATGTATCTGCTTCCCTACGTTAATTCACAGTAGCTACAGGGCTATTCATAAAACTAAATATTCCTTGATGCCTTTTTCAATTCAATAACTTATTTCATTAAAAAAAAACTAAATATATCTAGAAACTCCTCCTTCAGTGTTGTGTTGCGCATCTGTTTGTCCAGACAGAGTAGTATGGTCTCCCCATCACCTATTTTAATTTGAATGTTGCTGCTAAACCTTACCATTTCGCCAAATGAAACTTATGATGAGTATTGTTGTCTTCCTACACCTATGTTCTAATCTCAAATTAGGGTCAGTTGTGTAAATCCTCAATATTGCTCCGGCTTTGTTGAACCAGTTTTATCCCAATGCTTAACAATTTATGTTTTGAGGGAAATTAGAGGCTCGCAAACACCAGATGTTCTTTACATATTCTATTAGCACACAAATCTTTAAATAAACTAAAAGACTTTTAGCAAAGTGTATTAACACAACAAGCTTAAGCTGAATTAATCTGTATTTCACCTATATAGGTCTTTTCCATTGTGTACTGGATTTCAAGAGATTGCAAGCTCTTTATAATAATTTCCTTCATGCAACTTTAGGTTTATTTACCTTAAACATAACAATGAGACTCTGCTTCCCAGTGAAAGGGCTTGTTCTATGTCCTAACTATAGAAATAGATGACCACATTTGGACAAAGTATGATATACCAATTACATCAAGGCAAATGGTTAAAATGTTCAACTACTTGCTATATCTACCAATTTTTAGTTTGTTAGCATGGTCATGAGTACTTTATATTAACTCTTCAAATAATGTCAGACCTTACTAAATATGAACACACTCATGTAAGATCTATGCCCGTAATGCAGACTCATAGCCTAATCCATGTAATACAGGTTTTCACAAAAAAAAATAAAAAAAAATCTACGTGGTCATACACAACAATCCTTATTATTATTGACTGTAGTAATTAGTTCTTTTCTAACATGATGCAAAAGACAAAGTTGAAAATCAAGAACCATAAAAATCATACCAAGAAAATGTATGCGGAGTATCTTTAACAACTTATCCGGGACAAGTCCTTCCTCCACTACTCTATAGATCATTCAGGTAGCAATAATGAAGACAAAGAGCAAAACGGTGACTATAAAAATTCCATTACCAGATTGTAAAGCCCATTCAAGAATAACCAGCCCCTCAATCACAAAACTAGCATTAATCAATGACCCTATTTTATTAGGGGACATTGGTCGAAAACATGGCGTGCATATATAAGAATAAGTGAGAGAAAAAGACATACTTGTCGGAGAGTAGCTGAGAGAAGCCCTGGGCAAGAAAAGAAGCGGAGTGAGTTATGAGGAGAGAGTTTGGAGGGTAAAGAATGGCGCGTTGTAGAGAAGTTATAGCGGCAACACGAGAAGACTCGTCATCTTCAGTAACAGAAGTTGAAGTGGATTTGGAAGGATCGTCTTTGGGTAAAGCGACGGTGAGAAGTGCCGCTAATTGCTGCTGCTGGTGATGAAGTCCTTGCATTATCCCTTATTCTGATGATGAATTCTTCATTGTCTTCTTCAGTTACATGTGAGAGCACTTCTTGAAATTCCGTTTATCGCCGTTCACCGGGCGACCGACCTTTCAATTTCAACAAACGTCGTAATAAAAAAAATAAAAAATGCACCACTAAAGTTTTTTCCTTATTCATATTACGCCCCCACAACTTTCCTTTTATACATTTAGAAGTAGAATTTTTGGAGTAGATTAAAAATGGTTCTTCCTATGTGACTTTGTATTTTTTTTTATTTTGGCAAAATACATTAATAGCCCTTCAAATTTGCTAATAAATTTTATTTAAATATTTAAACTATGATTTGTTTATATTAGATATTTTCGACTTAAGAGGTTAGGTTATATTCTCTAACATTCATTATGTAAATAAGTTAAATTATTTAAAATATGTCATATCATTCAGTTATGCGCGTTAACTACAACAAGTAGTAAAATTTTATATTGTTCCAATTGATGTTGATGTGAATAGATTAACCTATCTACTTAATAGATACCGAGAATACATGCATAAACTTTTTCAAAATATGAATTAGGAGCATCTAATAGAAATAACTTTATCATAGTTTACATATCTAAATAAAATTTACTGACAAATTTAAGGTTTGTTGATATATTCAAACTTCTTAATTTTCATAATACATGCTAACTATATTAGATCCTATAAAAGTGTGTTCATCAGCTCCACTTCTATAAATGTAACCAAGAAATGTGTAAAAACAAAATTGTAAATGGAAAGATTTATTAAAATTCAAATCCTTAATCCTTAAAAGCGGATAAAATGAAACACAAATTTCATCGGAATACAGGCAATTTTACTGATAACTCAGAAGTCTATAGATTTGCTCCGACCTTTGACCTCATTGTAACCATGATTTATCATCTAAGTAATTCAAAACTCATACATGTTTATAAATCCTATTGACCACATTATATTTCCATTTATTTAGACTTCGATAGCAAGAACAACTTTGTAGCATTGCCTAACTTAATAATTTGAAGATAAACAAAAAATGTTCAGTTCGAATATAACCCTAATGCATCATATTGACATCCCATAAATGACATCACGAAAGAATCCTAAACTTGCTTCATAGACAAGATAATGCGTGCATGAGCACCTCTTTTCTCCGGAGAAATCGATCATGAAATTCTTGCTCTTGGTAATCAACCAGCCCTTAAGGTACCTAACTTGCAGAACAATGAACAAAATGGAAAGAGGAGAGAATTCAGGTGTTCTTTAGAAGGGATTGCTTACACCTTGTTTGGATGGTTATTACCCGTTCTGATGTTTTGCTTCAAACTTGTGCTAGCCGAATGATTGTTATGTTTAGCTTCATTTGTAACAACGACAAATAGAAGTGGTGGATAAATACTACATATTCATCTGTTTGTTTCTTCTGTTTAATACAAATATTATACAGACTTCAAGTTATTGAATGGTAGGTACCAAGTACTTGATCAGAGCTGGGACTTAGCCACAGGCCCAACCATTTGGTTGAAGTGACCATATCTGGAAACTGTTCCTCTGTTAAATTGTCCAGAAACCAGCTGTTCATGGTGCACTTCTATAATTACTCAAGTTACAGACAACCTTCCAAGCATCATAACTAAACACAACAACAATTTCAACTTCAGCATGAACAGAGAAAGAAGACCATAACCATGTAATCTCACAAGTGTGGTCTAAAGAGTAGGATGTAGGCAAACCTTACTCGAGACATGTTCAAGAAAAACATAAGATGATTCCAAATAACATATAGTTTGAAGAAGCAAAACATTCTGAGATTCGACATGTACACAAGCACAAGAGCAAACAAGCGCAATACTTCTCTCCAACTAATGAAAAAATAGCACATAGTAAAACAATTATCAGCATTTCAAGATGAACAGCTTCATAATAATGATGTCAAAGTTTAACATAATTGTTTACTCTGCACAAACAAACAATCAAAGAACAGAAATAATTTATTGCAATGCCAATAGTATTCATAATCCAAAGAGGAGACACACTTCAAATAAAACCATACATTCCTTTCTTTTCCAATAGAGCAAAATTTCAGGCAGTTAATGCCAGTTTAAATCACTAGGTATTACAATATGATACCAAATTCTTGAAAACAAAAAAACACTCAGCGTGAACCTCAAGCGACAGCAACTGGCTGTTGTTTCGAGGGCTCGACGTGTTTCTTGGAATCTCCGAGGAAATCTTCGAGATTATATATAACGGTGATATAAAGGGAACAACTAGGGCATCGAGCGATCTCTTCCCCTATTTTCAGCTCTTCCTTTGTGATTTGGAACAAGTCACCGCACGGACAAGGATATGTGTATGATTGGAGCTCATCGTTCCACTCCATGTCCTCAATCTCTACGTCGTCGTAAGACATCCTCGGTGGTTTATTTCTTCCTTCTCTTTAGAGATTAGGGTTTGTTGTTCGGGAATTTGGTCGAGTTTGTAAAGTCCGGTCGTCAAAGTTGATTGGGTTTAAAGGAAAAGCTAAATTGCACCTCAAGTCCTTTTAATAACTTAGGGAAAATGTACAATATGACCTTGAACATTAGTAAATTACCACTTCAGCAACACCATTTGATTTAACACAATTTTTTTTAAAAATAAAATTTAAAATTTCTGGTCTAAAATACTTATTTCGTTCATATTTACTTGTTTAATTTAAAAAATCAAGAAATAAGTTATTATTTTGTGTCTGTTTTATCCTTGATATTAAATATTATTCAATAATCAATATATAATACATTTTTTAAAGCATCAAATTTAATATATTCAAATGGTAATGTAGTAATATTACCCCTATTATTTAATTCATTCGTCTCATATTAGTTGATTATTATACTAAGTATAGTTATCTCATATTAGTTGATCACATTACTAGATTAAGAAAACATTAATTACATTTTTTCTCCCTTGCAATTAATTCTTTTTGAAAGTATTCACATTTTTTTGTAAAATTCTCAAAAAAAAATATTATTGGATGAATTAGTAAAATTTTCTTCTTATTTTATGATTATTTTAAGCACCGTACAAAATGGAAAGTGATCAACTAATATGAGATAGAGGGAATATTGTTTCTTTAGATATGTGTCAAGTTAATAGTAGACAACTATTATGAAAAGAGGAAATAATTCTTAGATATTTATGTGCTTGTAAATTATTTCATTAAGGATAAAAGAAAAAAAATTAAAGTTAAATTATTATTTTTTTGGTTTCCCACTCGGTGTCCGGAGCCCACATTTGAGTCCCGATTAAGAACCTATTTGACATTGCTATTGGGATTAGGCCAGAAGCACTTATTTTGAGAAAAAAACACTTTTATTGAAAAATTAAGTGCTTTTAAATGGAAGCAGAAACAATTTTTCTGTTGTTGGAAAGAAGCTAAAAAAATTTATTTTAAAAAAAAGTAGAAGCAAAAACAAAAAATTATTTTTCTCAAGACTAAAATATCTTTTTCATATATACATAATTACATATTTACCAATATATTTCTTATTAATTAATTAGCATATTTCATAAGTTTGGTTAAATTTCATTTAAAATTTTTACTATTTTTTCTTTTATATAATAAATTTTATAATTTATTTTACATTTATGTATTATTATTTTATATATTATATATTATCTTAAGTATTATTTTGTAGAATTAGAAAAAAGGAAACAACAATATTTTTTCAAGATTAGAAAAAAGAAGAAAATAATAATTAAATATTTCAGCCTCCCAAAAAAGGTGTAATATTGATTGAGAATTTAAATCTGTAAATTTTAATTTTTAAAAAATAAAATTTTGATTAATTTTTTAATAATAGATACTTAAAATAGTTTTTCTCTATAAAATAATTTTAATATTAGAAGTAGATTAACAATTGTTCCTTCTTATAATTTGACTCTTAAAAACACTTTTTAAAAAAGATTAGGCAAACACAATTTGCTTATGAAAAACACTTTTCAATTAGTCACACATAAATTGTTTTTTTTTTCAAAAGCACTTTTCTAAAAAATAAAAAAGTGTTTCTAAAAATAAGCTATTTTTAGCAACAACGTCAAACATGCCTTAAAATCTAGATCGTGTATTTTAGGACCCATTTGAGATAACGGTTCCAACATAATTTTCTTCGTATTTAATTGATAGTAAGGTTACTTTGAAGACAGCGCCGTCTGTAGGGCAGCGCCGCAGCGGCAGTGGCAGGGGCAGCGACATGAGAAGTGTGGAAGGTCTCAGAAGCTCCAAGCTTTCTTCACTTTCACTCCGGCGTTTCTCTACACTTACTCTATCCAAATCCACTTCTCCTACCATTCCTATTACTGCCGAAGTTCTGCGAGAATCAGTCACTTCTTCTCAGTGGCATTTTATCAAACACCTTACGGGAGAACTAAACCCCACCTTGATTTCAGCTACCCTCCCAGACCTTCGTTCATCTCCTGACCGAGTACTCACTTTCATCGAAAATCTCAGTCCTAATTGCTTAGACATATCCTGTTATTGCCTTGCCATTTCCATACTCTCTCGTCTCCCCTCGCCTAAACAAGCCACTCACCTTCTCAAGCAAGTGATCAGTTCTCGCTTAGCTTCGCATAATGAGATTTTTGATGGGCTAGTGAGTGCTCGGGAGAAGCTGGAGATAAAGAGTTCGATTGTGTTGGATTTGCTTGTAAGGGCGTATTGTGAATTGAAGAAGGGGGAGGATGCGTTGAAGTGCTTTTATTTGATGAAACAGAAGGGAATTTTGCCAAAGGTAGAGACTTGTAATGATTTGTTGAGTCTTTTTCTTAAATTGAATAGGACCCATTTGGCTTGGATTGTGTATGCCGAGATGTTTAGGATGAAAATGAGTTCTACTGTATGTACGTTTAATATAATGATCAATGTTCTGTGTAGAGAAGGCAAGTTTAAGAAGGCAAAGGAATTCATTGAACACATGCAGTGTTCAGGGGTTAAGCCAAATTTAATATCGTATAATACTGTGATTCATGGTTATTGTTTGAGGGGGGATATTGAAGGAGCAAATAAGATTTTTGAGGCGATGACAGCAAAAGGAATTGAGCCTGATTCGTATACGTTCAATTCTCTAGTTAGAGGGATGATGAAAGAGGGGAGGGAAAAGGAGGTCTCTTCCTTGTTAGAGAAAATGAAATCGTTTGGGTTGATCCCTACAGCTGTGACTTACAACACTCTGATAGATTCATGCTGCAGTAAAGGGGACCTAGAAAAAGCATTTTTTTACCGGGATGAGATGGTTAAGATTGGCATCGTGCCAAGTGTTGCTACCTATAACTTGTTGATCCATGCATTATTTCTTGATGGCAGAATGGTAGAAACTGATGATTTGCTGAAAGATATGTCGGAGAAGAGAGTACTTCCTGACGGTATTACATACAACATATTGATCAACGGCTATTGCAGGGTGGGAAATGCGAAGAAGGCATTTAAGTTCTATGATGAATTGTTAAGTAGGGGTCTTCAACCAACTATTGTCACTTATACATCACTAATCAAAGTCTTGGGCAAAAGGAAAAGGATGAAAGAAGCAGATGATTTGGTTGTTGAAATATTGCGGAAAGGGATATTACCAGATCTAATTATGTTCAATGCATTGATTGATGGCCATTGCGCCAATGATAATGTTGAGCGTGCTTTTGATACAATGAGCGAGATGAATAAAATGAATGTTCAGCCTGATGAAGTTACCTACAATACTCTTATGCAAGGGTATTGTAAGAAGGGTAAAGTTGAAGAAGCTTGTATGCTTCTCGAAGAGATGAAGGGAAGAGAAATTAAACCTGATCATATCAGCTATAACACTCTAATCAGTGGGTATAGTAGGAGAGGCGACATGGATGATGCATTCAGAGTTCGTGATGACATGTTAGGTGCAGGTTTTAACCCCACTCTTCTCACTTACAATGCTCTCATACAAGGTTTGTGCAAAAAACAGGAAGGTGTACTTGCTGAGGAACTTCTCAAAGAAATGGTTAGTAAAGGCATTACTCCTGATGATAGTACTTATCTTGCTTTGATTGAAGGGATTGGTGATGTTGATAGTTTCTTGGGGAGAAAAGACACATCATAAGGGATCTTGTCATGGTGTTTGTTTATACATACAGATAGAGAACTCCAAGGACGGTGTCTATTGTGGTTAATGATGGTTATAAGGGAAATAGGAAAGAGGTTTGCATTAATATCAAAGGCATGCTGATAGTTGTCATTTGGATAATGCTGACAACTCCTTGGTGATTCTTTGGATAAAAGGGGACTCACGTGGCTTGAAATATCACTGTTATGGTGCATCCTTCCCGAGTGGCTTGCATCTTCAGATTTTTTCTGATCAGATCGACATGACTGTCCGACTACATAGCCAGTTACGCATTGCTTCATTGCCTCATAGCTTTTGGCCGGAAAGAGACTGTGTATTCCATGTGTATTTTGCAATAATTATATCCATGTTTAGCTTCTTTAACCTATTGTGCCTCCAATGACCAGTGGCGAATTTAGAGCCAAAAAATAGGGCACCGGCACCCGTGGTCTCTTCGTAAAATTAGATATTTTATATATATATATATATTTTCTAAGATTTGTATAATATTATATTTTGGCACCCATACTACAAGAAGTCTAAATGGTCCACATGATTTAATGTTGAGCTTTTGACCTTGAGGATTAAGGATCAATTCCCACCCTTGTTCGAAAAATCCTAAATTCGCCTCTGCCAATGACCACTGGCTGATCAAAAGAGAAGGAACTTATGGGCTTCCCTCAATTTCTGGTTTAGTGAGACTTTAAGTTCTCTGTAATCCTAAGCACTGGAGTTACATATGTTCTTGATCCTAAATCCACAGACAACAAATGATTTATTGATCCAGCTGTTACCCTTAATTAAGTCATTTTCTCGAAATTTCTTCCAGTTGTGAAAAAGTGTAAGTTTGGATCATTAATAGAGACCTGCTGTTAAAGAATTGTAGAAATTGGTTCTTCTTAAGATGTCTGGTTTGAAATGGAGGTTCTTCAATTTATGTTAGTGTTTGACTGAACGTAATATTTAAGAAAAAGAATTTTTTTGAATCTTAGTCTAAAATAAGCAATAGACATTTTGTAGCTATAAACTGATCTTTTTTCAAAAAAATATTAAAGGTAAAATTAAATTGCTTTCAAATGAAAAAATGATAATTTTTCTGAAACCAACTAAAAAAGAGAAGTATTTTATGTTGACATTATTACAACCCACTCAAAAAATTATTGCTTTCCGGCCAAACTTATGAAAAAGCAAATGAAACCCAATGAGCATTTTAAGTGGGCAAATACCTAGATCCCATTTAGCCATAAAAAGAAAATCTTGAAAACAATGTTTGTTTAAGAAATTTGGTAAGTTAATAAAAATATTTCCCAAGTTAGATCAGACTTGTGGTCTTTGGAAGAAATTTTACTTCCACTAGTAAAACTTCAAATATTTTCCAAATAAAACGTATCTCAAATAAACTTAAAAATTTCAATCCAAATTTCAACAAAAATCTACAGCCAAAAGTACAAATTCTCCCTTAACAAAGTTCAAGCTGAACAGAGAAATGAAGATAGCAGAATCAATAAAATATTAAGGTTCAAGTTGTTTTTGCCTCGAGATCCAGGAAATACAATAAACAACTTCACTTCTGTTTTAGCCCCAACTTTACTGCAATGTTTTTTTTCTTCTGATAGAACAACTCAGATAGGTAGTTTCTGACCACTAACTGCAATCCTCATGGCTCGATTCTCATCAAGAAACAGATGTTCATACCCTTTACTGGTTTGTAGCTTGGTGGGGTTCTTGATTTTGCTTCATTTCTCATCTTTGGGTAGTTATAGAGGTATTAAAAAAGGGCAGATTCAAGAAAGATATGAAGAGTTGGAGGAGATCCAAATTCCTCAACCAAGTGGAAGCCAATCCTCAGAAGCCAACATGCTAATTGATGAATTCCTTGATAAGTCTTCTAAACTCAGGCACATTTTCTTTCCTGACATGACAACTAGCATAGACCCTAGAAAGAATACTAAAGATGACACCTTTTACTATTACCCTGGGAGAATTTGGTTAGATACTGATGGACATCCTATTCAAGCTCATGGGGGTGGGATTCTTTATGATGAAAGATCAAGAATGTATTATTGGTATGGAGAGTACAAGAATGGTCCTACTTATCAATCCCCCAGGAAGAATGTAGCTCGGGTAGACATCATTGGAGTTGGCTGCTACTCTTCTAAGGATTTGTGGACTTGGAAGAATGAGGGTATTGTACTAGCTGCGGAGGAACATGATGAGGATCATGACCTTCACAAGACTAAAGTATTGGAGAGGCCTAAAGTGATCTACAATGAGAAGACAGGTAAATATGTAATGTGGATGCACATTGATGATTCAAATTATACCAAAGCCTCTGTTGGAATTGCTATAAGCAATTCCCCTACTGGTCCTTTTCGATATCTATACAGTAAAAGGCCTCATGGTTTTGAAAGTAGGGACATGACTTTGTTCAAAGATGATGATGGTAAGGCATATGTTATTTACTCCTCTGTACACAACAGGGAGCTTCATATTGGTCTTCTTGATCAAGATTATGTAGATGTTACTAATGTTATGTCAAGGGTTCTCGTGGGGCAGTTTAGAGAGGCCCCCGCCTTGTTCAAGTACCAAGGAACTTACTACATGATCACATCAGGATGCAGTGGTTGGGCACCAAATGAGGCACTGGCTCATGTGGCTGAATCAATTATGGGTCCATGGGAGACTATAGGCAACCCATGTATAGGAGCTAACAAAGTTTTTCGGGTCACCACATTCTTTGCTCAGAGCACATATGTGCTCCCCATTGCACCTGGTTCGTTTATTTTCATGGCAGATCGCTGGAATCCAGATGATTTGGATGATTCTAGATATATATGGCTTCCTTTGAATATGGAAGAAGTAACGGGCAGCCAACGACCAAGAGTATCTATCTTTTGGCACAAAAGATGGAAGCTCTTTAAAAGTCCAGTATAGAAGAATGCTTATAGTTTTCTCATCATTGAGCAAGGTACTAGTTTTCTGTGGAGTATTAGAACTAATGTGAAGTGATGCAAGGATATCTATTAGAATACCTTGTTACCTTGTTGGAACTTGCATTACACACAATTTTATGCCATGTATATCAAGATGTATGATTGCAGCTTCTTATTTATGCATTTTCAAGCAACCAAAAACTATCTCCAACTCAAGGAGACAGAAAATACTTAATTTTTTTCATCAGTTTTGTGACACGCAACCAAATTATAACCTCCCGCCAACTTGCAATTTGGTGAGCTTTTCAAAGTCATTTTTTCCAATTTTCCTTAATCTTGAAGTAAGACTAGAGTTTCATCACATAACAGGGAATTCAATTACATTCTTATAATGAATGAGTAAGCTAGATAGATGGTATTGCTTATATGGTCCAAAGCCCTACAGGTACAAATCTTGTCAGGCAACACATAACATTTAGAAAGAAGTGTATACAATAAGAAGGTTAAAGTTTCTGGAAGAACTCATAGTTTATAAGTTTAACATATATATCCAAAACAAATCAATTCTGCCTCAGTACAGAGGATTATAGGAATTAGAAAGAGAGTGAATCTTGATGCAGGAAAAAAGAAAATGTTTAACAGACCAAAGTTTCATTCAGATTCCTCTACAGTAGCTTCGATTCGGAGGAGGACGAATCCAACAGCAACTCCAACAAGAACCAAGCCAGGAATAATGGTAGCAATCCTGAAAATCTCAAGAGCAGCATTGCAAGTAGAGGACAAAGCTCCACCATTGGCATGTGATGATGGGGTTTTCAATGAGCTAACAATCTTTGCAAAAGCTTGTTCAGTGGACAAAGGGAGGCCTAACGAGGCAACATGGTTATTTGCCTTAAGCCCTTCAAATGAATTCAATCCACTAATGTACTTCACTTTGGTTCCTTTCTGGGAAGAGTTTCTGCCTGTGCCTATAATGGCTGCTGAACTTACTGTTGCTGCAGAGAATGTTGTCATAGTTGCCATTGTTTTCTGACCACCAAGCTATACAAAAAAAATTTGAACTTGTAACAAGTTTATACAAAATCTTGGAAAAGAAAGAACTAAAAAGATTGGGGTTTTACCTGGTTGTGATGGCTTGTGGAGTGCTTTAAGTTTGCCAAAGTAGAGAGATAATAAAAGGGTGAACATGGGATATTATTTTTTGTGAGGTGAATATGAGAGCAATGGATAAGGGGAGTGTTGAGATGGTTGGCTCACAAAGAAAATTGGATGAAGCATCTTATAGCTCATCAACTTGTAAAACTAGCCAGGAAAGTGGGTGGGCCATGGTACTTTTGTCCAAATTTAGCCTTAAGAAGCAGCATAATTGACTTCTTTCTCCTTTATTTTCTCAAAGTTGTTATGGAGATATTTCCAAAATTGCACAAATGATATGTAAGCATTTAAAACAGAAGAAAATCAAATAATGGATGAACATTCAAATGTAAATAAACCAGATTTTAGTCTTAACACCAGTCAACAGGCTTTAATTGTCAGAGCTATTTTACAAACTAGATAAGCCTTCAATATTTGTCAACAAACAACACTACTTGTTACAAGTTCACTATTCGGAAACTGATCCTTCATGGAGAACATGAACTTGCAAGTAAAGGCCGTTTTTGCCTTTTCCTCTCACAAATTCACAAATGCACCTGTCTTTTTCCACAAGGTTCCACCTACATAAACTGCGCCATCCGCCAGCTAGCCATATTCTACCGTCCTTCCAATTTTTGAGTTTCGTCTCAAATTCTCTTCCAGCAGAATCGCGAATGATCATTCTTGAAGGGAGCTCAAGTTTGTAATCTCTCACCACATCAATCGGAATGTACTGGAATTAGGAAAAACCGACTTTGTTAAATTGGAATGCTAGAATATTAAACTATAAAATCATTCACTAGAATCTATAGTTATAGGTTTTTCGTTACCAGTTGATCTCTCCTTTTTGCTCGTATTTTCGCTACAAAGTAAGGATTTTTTGGCTGAGTTGCACGCCCACTTTTGAATATATCTGCACCATATTGGTCAGGGACATCCCTCACCTTGCAAGCAGTGTCTCTTTTGCATCCAACTGAATCAAGAAAGTTAACAAGTCAGATTCACAAATAAAAATCTCACGCAAACTCAGGGATACACCATCCGTTTCATTTTACATGGTGGTATTTTATTGAACATGAACTTGAGAATGAAAGACGACTTTTGACACATATCAGAAGTGTTATAAAATGTTTAACTTTATTCTTCTCTGCTGTTCCAAAAACTAACAAACAGTGCCCTTAGGCTCGTTTTGTCAACGAACCAAGCAACCAAACCTTTTAAAAACTTTTTAGAACTTGTAATCCTAAACATTTTATGACATTTATATGACTACGAGATCATGTACAAATAGACAAAGATGTGGTTTTTGTAGTAACATACTAACAAGAAAAGAATTGAATTGGGTAGAAAATGAAATAGACGAGTAAATATAAAGACCTTTGATTTGTGTCTACCTTTTGAACGTGACACATTTTTCTTAAATGTACCAGTCCTTTCATCCTCCTCTGTTTCTCCGTCCTCTTCAGTTTCTTCCTCCTCTTCATCATCATCATCATAATCTTCTTCTTCTTCTTCGTCGTCTTCCTCTTCCATGTGTCTGGCCACATCAACAATGGGTTTAAATAAAATTTCAGAACAAGATTGTTATGGATATATTTCCAAAACTTGAAGAACGATGTGATGACTATAAACAACTCACAAATGATATATAAGCGTTTAGATCAAACTTTACCCCCCTGAGCATTTAAAACAGAAGAAAACCAAATAATGGTTGAACATTCAAATGTAAATATACCAGACTTTAGTCTTAACAATAGTTAATAGACTTAATTGCCAGAACTATTAATACAAACTAGAACAGTTCCCAATTTTTGTCATCAAACAGCAGTACTTAGTCTTCAAAACTGTCAACTCATAACAGCACTCAAGGCAATAAAAATTTGAAATGCTATGTTAAGTAGCAGTAAACAATTTCTTATACTTAGTGTTGGAGTTTGAAACTGATCCTTCGTGAAGAATTTGAACTTGCAAGTAAAGGACTTTATTTCCTTTTCCATTCACAAATTCGCAAATACACTTGACATCTTTCTCCACAAGGTTCCACCTGCATAAACTATGCCATCCTCCAATTAGCCATATTCTACCATCCTTCCAATTCTTGAGTTTGGTCTCAAATTCTCTGCCAGTAGAGTCGCGAATGGTCATGCTTGAAGGGAGTTCAAAATTGAAGGCTTTAACCACATCAATTGGAACGTACTGCAATTAGATTAAATTTTTTGGTAAGTGAGAATGCTATAAGATTGAACTACAAAATCATTCACTAGAATAGTTATAGGCTTTTAATTACTAGTTGGTCTCTCCTTTTTGCTTGTAATTTCGCTATAAAGTAAGGATTTCTTGGCTGTGTTGCATGTCCACTTTTGAATATATCTGCCCCAAATTGGTCATGGCTGTCCCTCACCTTGCGAGCAGTGGCTCTTTGGTATCCAGCTGAATTAAATAAGTTAACTGGTCAGGTTCACAAACAGAAATCTCATGAAAACTCAGAGATACTCCATCCGTTTTATTTTACGTAGTGGTATTTCATTGAACATGAACTTTAAGAAAGAAAGAAGATTTCTGGAACATATCAAAAGTGTTAGGCTCGTTTTGTTAACGAACCTAACCTTTTAAAACCCTTTAGAACTTGTAGTCTTAAACATTTCATTACATGAATATGACTACAAGATCATGTCCAAATCTACATAAAGATGTCATTTTTACAGTGACATACTAACAAGAAAAGAATTGAATTGCATATAAAATGAAGCAGGGGGTTAAATATAACGATCTTTAATTTGTGTCTACCCTTTGAACATGACGCATTTTTCTTAACTATGCCAGCCCACTCATTCTGTTCTTCCTCTTCCTCCTCGTCTTCATATTCCTCCTCCTCAGTTTCTTCCGCGTGTCTATGTTTTGAACGTGGTGCCTTATCTATCTTCACAAAGTTTTTTCCCATCATCACAATATCAGTTGCACTTTTCTTTAACACAAATCTTTAGAGCTATAGTTGAGCTTTAAGGCATATATGAAAAGGAAAATAAAAGAGTGCAATAATGTCCTCATAAAGTTCAAGTCTTACCCCTACATTATTATTATTTTTAGAATTCATAGTTTCCTTACTAAGTTATCATATAGCAATGAAGAATGAAGATAAGATGCAAAATTTAATACCAAAAATGGTATGAAGATGGAGAATTTTCCTAAAAAAGATTAAGGAGAAAAGTAGTACAAGAAGTTGATACTGTTTTCTTTTTTACAAAATTTGGAAGGTAGGACAGGACCACCTATAATAATAAAGAAAACAGCTAAAAATAGTGCCTGCAATACATAAAAGGATTGAAAAATTAGCAAACTATACAGGGCAAACTGATGGGGTTTGACGCAAAACACAGATTTTTATGGAGTTCACATGTGATACACTAAAAATGCAAGATATTATCTTTCCTCCTTTGGAATAGTAACTCTATATCTAGCTAAATGGTGTGATTTAATATAAAAATATAAATATTGGGTACAGCAAGTGTTTTCCGTGAACATTTCAATCATATTATACTTTTGAATTTAGATTTTGGATTTTAACTTATATATAATACCGTTGATGTACATGATTTTATGTTACCAAGACAATTTTGTCATTTGTCAGTCCATGCTTGATATAGATAATGACATATAATTAACTTTTAAGTGATATTAGAAAGTAGTTTATACTGTCAAACACATAAAATTTCAACAGAGCTCTCTCCATCCTTGTTATCACCAACAATGTGAGAAAGATCCTGACCAATATCACGTAATTTAGCATTGCCATGACTCGTAAATTGATAATCAATCTCAGTAGCCGCTAGGTCAAATATGTGTCTGGCATGCGCTGCAATAACAAACATAGATTTTTATACTTAAAATTTGGTATTACGACAAATGGTAGACAATATTAAGTAGAAAGATACAACAGAAACTTTGTACGTCAGAAGTTTATCAATTTCAAATAAGAGTGCTTATGTACCAGTGAGTAGAAAAGCGAACTTAACAAATAAGCAGGAGCCAGGAGACTAGAAGACGATGACAGACAATCTCAACAATGCAATGAGTACCAACAGTGTAATGAAAAGCATCTCTAAGATGGGATGCCAACAGAAGTATTGGATTGCAGACATAAATCCCCTACTACTCACTCCCTAACTTTTACCTTCATTTTCACTGTTGTCAAGCAAAAGGGAATGACCAAGTTGAATCAGTTGAAATCTTCAAATTTTTTCATGGTCATTCTTGTACATCTTTATGCAGCAAGTTCAACAGAGATTCCGGATGATCATTGAAAATGAAACCTTCAGTTCATTTGTATTGACAAGCTGAAACACACAGACATGTCCTTTATTAAGCTTGTAATCACTCAAAAACTGTTTCCATCCTCCACATAAAGCGCGATATCCTTTTGGTGATATACGATATACTTTCCACTCTTTTCCTTCTGATTTATGGAGAACAATTGTTGTCTTATTTCCTCCTCCTCTCCAGCAAATTTTAAACCTCCAACTCAGTTGTCCTCTTTTGCAATGATCATAGCATCCACGCTCTACAGGACTGTAAATGATTTCCTTGTGTATCTGCAATTTATCAAATTAGCTCTCAATACGATGCAGATAAAATTTCAAACTTGCAATATTTTGTCGCAAAAACAAACTAGCCAGTCTTGCAATTGGTTTTATTTGAAGATACTAGTCCAAATGCATCTGGAGTCTCTGTATATTTACTTTCATTGAAATGAAGTATATTGTTTTCAATTCCCTCTTGTATATTATTTGGATAAGTCATACCTCCAGTCTCCACTGCATAATGTACAGGAGTTTTCATACTTCGCCGAACTAATTTTCCACCGAGTGACTTAATTAAACTGCTATTGCCCGATAGGTTTAAATTCTTCGCATTTAATAGCAGTCTGTCATGTAATTTGTTTGTTCTGCATCTTGTTTCATAGCAACGCCAAAGTTTAGTCCTTCCAGATGCAATTTTACGTCTTTTAACTCCATAGGGAAGTTCAGATGACTTAGCTGAACTCTGAGTAGCGGCTTAATCAAATATGTGGACTCTGAAACATGAGTTCTGTCCATATTTGATGAGTAAAAAGTACCAAGATCAATTTTTTTTCTTAAAATTTAGTCCTATGGCAATGGTAGTGTAGCTATTGCAATTTTAATTAGAAAGATACAACAGAAACCATGTACATCAGAAGTTTATCTATTTCAAACACTAGGCTGTAAGTGGTCACAAACCTAAAATTGATCTGGCTAAAACAATGTGAACAAATAAGGAAAAACAGCACGAAGAAGACGAATGAAAGAACATATCTAAGATGGGACTTCATATATAAATCCCCCACTTGCTCCTCGAACTATTTCTGCAAAAGGGAATGACCAATTGAACATTATCATTAAGTGCAGAACATCAATTCAAGAATTCAAGAACCAGGAACGTCAATTCAAGAATTCAAGAACCAGCAATGTCAATTCAAGAACCAGGAAAAAGTAGTAACCAGTAAAAAAGTAACCTAAATCCTCTGATTGAGGGCAAAGGGGGTAGGAGTACTACAGTACTATTCAGAAAGAACTTGCAAGTTGACGGAGGGTTCAACAATCACGCCGGATTCCGTCATCACACTGGATTCCGGTTGGGCAATTTTTTTTTCCTCTACTCAGAAAAGAGGGATGCTGTTGTCTTTCCATCATTATCAAATATCTCTTTTTGCATATACCACATCAAGTTCAAAATAATATGTAAGAAATACTGTTTTACACAAGTGCAGCAATTGTAGATGGCAGACTTTGAAATCTAACAAGGAACAGAGTTAGGTCGGTCACTCTCAGTAGTTCTTTCGAAAGAATATTAGCTGAAGTGTCATGCTAAATAAATCATATTCTACAATAACATCAAAAAAATTAAGTTTATTACATCAATGATCAAAAATAGAATTGTGAAACATTGATAAATTACCACATGCATTTATTTTATGAAGAACTCTCGAGAAAATCCAGTGTTGTAAAAAAGATTTGAGGCATAACATGTCAAAAGTCCCAAAAAAGGAACATGCACTAAGGTTTGCTAAAAAGGGACTCTGCATTATTGTCATTTTTGTAATCCAAACTATTTCTCTTCACCAATCAACAGTTTTTTTTTTCCATTTGTCATTTAGTTAATGTAATCTGTAAATAGTGCAACTCCAGAAGCAGAAGCCAAGAAAAAATTGATTTCAAAGGTAAGCAATTAAGATGGAAAAGTTACAATCAGAAAATTAAATGCTTACATCTTGAATCCATTTGATTCCCCGAGCAATAACATCCTCTCTCGTAGCCAATGCATTTGCCTTAACAGCCAATCGACAATAGCATCCTCCATCATTAACTGCATAATTTCCTATGATATCCAAAATACCTATCTCCTGCGCAAACAAAAATGGCTGTGTTAGATG